TATGCACAAAATGATGGGAAATGTAAAAGTTAGATGGCATTTTGCTACAGAAAATAATCTTTAAGCATAAAATATTGCAAACTCTATGTTTCCATAACGAAATTCAACTTAGTTGAGTCCTGTTGGAAAGTGGACTGCATCTCTGATGATGATAAGAAAACAAACCCACTTTCAGCTGCAGTACCAGCCCCACCAACAAACATGCACTTTCTGGAAGAAGATTTTTCCAATACAACAACCCCATTCTGCATTTTCATCTTTTCAACAGATTAAATCCATGTGTGGCATCATGAAAAATTATAATAAATAAAAAATAAATATAATATATACTATATAATATATCTAATTAAAAAGAATAATAAAAAAAGGAAAAGCAATGTGAAGAATCCCATGAAGTGACACATTCCAAGGAAGTTTTACCTGAGTCAAGGCATTCCGAGGCTTGCTGATCATTCTCTTCCGAGTGCTGCACAAGCTGGGGAGTTGCAGAATTGCACATTTCTAGGCTGCTCTCAGTTGTGTTTTGGCTGCTGCTCCTTGACAAGTGCTGGGCATCCACCTGGTCCTGCTCTGTTTGTGCTTTCAGGACAATTGTAGCCTGTTCAGTCTCCAACCTTTGCCTCTTCTTTTCCTTTTCCATTTGTTTTTCATTCTAACAAAAAGGGGAAGAATTTTTTTCAAGCTGACTGATAAGACAGGAGGGTTATTAAAAAATGAAAGCATCTTTCTGTCCCACATATAGCATGGAGTTTCTTGTCAAACAGCTGAAGACATTAAATTTCAGATCTCCTGTCCAGAGGAAGGGAGGGGGAATTAACAACCAATGAAATGATCTTTCTGTTTGTTGACTGTTTTCTTGCTTTATGTTTGGTCATATTAAAAAAATAAACCAAAATTGGAATATAAACAACATCAACAGTCCTGAGGTTAGAGAACTTCTAATTTCTTCCTCTTCAATGACTTTTTCTTGATGTTTTATTTCAAACAAAATCACCATCTCTGCAATCCTCACACTCCATCTTCTTCCTTTGGATGCAATTCTGAAGTGTATTATTGGGCATGCAGCTGACTTGCCATGCTTGTGTGCATGTGGGTGCTTTTGTCCCAGAGAAAAGCAAATGTTGGAGTTACTGACTGGAACAGTTTAGGTGTTTCTTTAGATCATGTTATCTCCAGTCAACTGAATAAAAAAATATGGCACAAGAAATAAGAACTACAGGTTAAAGAAACTTTAACATATGAATGGGATTTTCATATTTCAAAACCAGGAAACTTCTCAATAGTGTCAGTTTTCAACCAAAAACAGGTTATGCTCAGAAATCTAAACAGTTGTAGAAGTCAGTCAGATTTGATGACTCTCTCCATGGCTAAAATACTTTCCAAGAAATGAACAGACCTTGAATATTTTCCACTTCTGAATCCCCACTGGTTTAATCAGGAAATATGTTCAGTCACGTGTTTAGATCTGTTTTACTGTGCCTACAACACTTTTGTCCCCAAATCAATAACAGGGGGTTTCTGATCAGGAAAACATTGATTCAATGCACACAAACCAAGACTGCCAAGATTAAATACAGATTAAAAACATGCTGTGCAGACAGACTGAGACCAATTCTTTGGAATGAACCCTTTTTCTCATGACCTCTCAGATATTTGTTAGTGGCAGTGCTAAAATAATCCAGAGTTGCACACATTCTCCTACCTCAGAGATTACAGCAGATAGAGGCTGGAAGGGGTTCTGGTATTTCCCAGGCTCAGGCTCTTCCTCATCAGCTCCAGCTCCTTCTTCCTTCTCCCTTTGGCATCGTTGGTGGGTTTATGTTGTTGTTTCAGTGGTTTGGGCATTTGTGGATTTTGGTTGGGTTTGGGTTTTTTGAGGGGGGAGGAGGGAAGAGAGGGAGAATGAACAAAGAATTCTGAAGAAGCCAAGCCATAAATGTAACAGAAAATAATTATTAGATCCCCCAACTCATCTCCCAGTTTATGCCAGCATGGACTTTAAAGGTCCCTTCTGCAAGTAACTGCTCTCTGGTTCTGTGAAGGGAATCACACTCGCTTCCCCCAGACTCAGAAAAGTTCAGGAAGACACACAAAGCTCAGTTTACCAGCACTAGTTACTTTTTATGTTCCAGAGATTTATAGAAGAAATATTACATTGCTGTGTATTCAATAATCCATCACTGATAAAGTCCATTCTCCTCCAATACTCCTCAGGAATCATCTGATGGTAATTGCACACACAAGTCACTGTTAACACCCATTTTGCAGCTGCAGGTGCTGAGAGAGGAAGGAACAAAGCCCTTGTTCAGAGGTACAGATGGGGAGGAAAAGGAGGACAGTAACACAGCCATGGAAACAAAATGCTTGGAAGGAACAGACAGTGCTGGTGAGAACTTCCCAGCACTTCCACTGTCTCTGGTTTCCCACTGAAAACAAGGTGCTTGCTACTCACATCTTGGGGAGGAAATGCACAAATGAACCAAAAATATTAGCAAGGCCAAATTTACTGCCCACCCACCATGCAGTTCTCACCCCCAGCACATTTCAAGCAGACTCTTGGGTTGGAAGCTTTAAATCCTTGGCAGCTTGGCTGCACTTCCAGCAATGAATCGAGTAGCT